TATTCTTGAGCCTCTTTGTGCTCAAGGCTAACGCTCTACCATGCAAGCCACAGTGCTTTTTTTTTCTTTTTCAGGGACAGCGCTCAAGCCCTGAGTTCATGCCCCACAACTGACAAAAAGGAAAAGAAAGAAAGAAATAGAGAGAGAGGAAGAGGGGGGGAGGGAAGGGAAGGGAAGGAAGGAAGGAAGGAAGGAAGGAAGGAAGGAAGGAAGGAAGGAAGGAAGGAAGGAGAAAAGAAGGAAAGAGTCTCATGGACTTTTCTATCTGGCTGGCTTCAAACCATAATCCTCAGATCTCAGCCTCCTGAGTAGGTAGGGATTATAGGCCTGAGCCACATGCACCTAGTCAAAAAAAAATTTTTGTATTGGAGTTTGAATTCAGGACCTTGCACATGCTAGGCACACATACCACCACTTGAGCCACATCCTTAGCTTTTTTTTTGGGGGGGGTCCGGTTGTGGGGCCTGGGCACTGTCCCTCAGCTCTTCAGCTCAAGGCTAGCGCTCTACCACTTGAGCCACAGTGCCACTTCTGGCTTTTTGCTTTTTGCTTATGTGGTGCTGGGGAATCGAACCCAGGGCCTCAGGCATGCAAGTCATGCACTCTACCACTGAGCCACCTTCCCAGCCCATACATCCTTAGCTTTAACTTCTCAGAATCATCATCCAAATCTTCTTAATTGTAGCTACACCCAACCCATCCACACCCACTGATCTGGACAGGGTCCAAGAAGCATCCTGGCTGGTCACCCGGCAGTAGCCAGCAGCCCCTGAAAAGCTTAGATCCCAGGTCCCAGGAGATACCATGACAAAATCATGGGACATAGCTCTCACATGCAAACACGCATGGTAGCGGGAGCCTAGAGGCCTCCTGGCATTGTCTCAGGCTTGGTTAACAGTTCTCAGACTCCTTGGATTCTCTCTCAGGCTCAAATGGCCAGTCATCATGTCTCTTGCTACCAAGGCTGACTCAGAGCAGCTATAGGACAGAGTCTAAGGATGAGGGTACATCTGTGGCAGAGTCTAAGGATGAGGGTACATCTGTGGTCTCCAGGTCTCCCAAAGAAGAAAAAACAGTCATGAGAAGATTCTGGCCCTGCGCCCTCATCTGCGTTTGTAGAATTATGGGTTCTAGTGGCAGGACTGGGATCAGAACCCAAGAACCTATGTTCTAGGCCAGGTGTCCTTACACCAGGCCTATTCTGATGACCTGACTCTCTGTAGTCCTTCCTTCCTTCCTTCCTTCCTCTCTCTCTCTCTCTCTCTCTCTCTCTCTCTCTCGGTCATGGGGCTTGAACTCTGTGCCTGAGTGCTGTCTCAAGGCCAGCACTCTACCACTTGAGCCACAGCGCCACTTCCAGTTTTCTGTGGTTTACTGGAGATAAGAGCCTCACAGACTTTCCTGCCCAGACTGGCTTTGAACCCCAATCCTCAGATCTCAGCCTCCTGAGTAGCTAGAACTACAGTCAGGAGCCACCATTGCCAGGCATCTGTAGTCCTTTCTTTTGGGTGCCAACAAAGTCCCTGAAATGCATACCATACTCCCTTACTCCCCCACCGAAGCTACCTGCTTGGGATCCCAACACCTGTTTAAACCTCACATCACTGAGGTGAAACCCAAATTAGCATCTGACCTTCAAAGTCCTTTATAGTCTGGCTCCCACTGGGCTCCCTCATCTCATTTCCCACACTGCCTTTCCCATACTCAGCCCTGCAGCCCTACAGAACTTCTCATTCTTCCTCCAGCTCCACTTTTTAATTATTTATTATTTTGTGCCAGCTCTGGTGCAAACCCCAGTGCAACACTGTGCAACACAGGGCCCGGGCTTATTCACTCTACCACTTGAGCTCCAGCTCCACTTCTGGATTTTTAGTGGTTACCAGGAGATGAAGGGTCTCACAGACTTTCCTGCTGGGGCTGGCTTCAATCTGTGATCCTCAGATCTCAGCCTCCTGCATAGCTAGGATTACAGATACCCTGCTAACTACTTTCATTTGGTAGTTTCTGCTAACAGGCTATTTGGTCTTCAATATGGAGCCATTTCCTGAGAGCCCAGGCAGACATGGTCATGATCTCTATTTGTCCAAATGAGGTACATTGAATACTTCCAAGGTATTCTCCCTGGCTCTTAATACCAAGGCCAGCTAGCCTGACAAACATTGGTTAGTGGAGAAAACAAATACCTGACTTTTCTATCTTATTGCTAATGCTGTTCCCTTCCCAAAGACTGTGAGCCATGCACAGCGTCAATCTTGAACAATATGAGACAAGGGCAGATGTTCAGCCGTGTTATCTCATGTCATTCTACGACACAGGTGCTCACATTTCCATTTCACAGAGGAGAAAGAGAGGCTCGGAGAGGGCCAATCACTGCTCACATGGTGGGAGTTGGCACAGCCAGGATTAGAATGAAGGTTATCTTCTTCAATGCCTGAGCTCTCTGGGTGTGCGTTGGATGAGCGACACAGCGACCTACAAGGGGCAGCTGGATCCAGACTTCCTGGGAACTCTCATTCTGCCCCTTAAACTTGTGGCTGAGAGACTGGAAAGGTGGCATCTCCATCGGATGACAATGGCAGGCTGAAAGCCTGGGACCCTTCAAAGAACCTCTGATCCTGAAACCTCGCCCTCTGGCCTCAGAACAGGCACCTAGTCAAAAAGTTCTCTGACTGATGGCTAAGCCTTTCATCCTAAGTAGAATGCTATAGGAAGAGAAAAACAGCTCTTAACTTTCTCATTCTGCCCACCTTATAAATGGCCCAGGGAAAATACTTGGAAGAAATGCCAGACATTGTGCTAGGTGCCTGCTCCTTACACATTGTCTCTGACTCCCAGTATCCCTAACAACTTGTATAATTTCTATTTTACACACAAATTGAGGCCCAATGAAGCTACTAGGCGAGAGTTCAAGGTCAGCCAGTAACTATATATGCCATGCATACTAAAACCAAGCTAACCACCAGGCTAAGTTGCCTTCAAACCCTCCCTGGAAAATCCCCAGAGAACAAAAGTCCCCACCCAGCCCATCATGACACCTTGGTCCCAGAAATTACTAAATTCTTATAAGTCAGCTGACTCCATATGTAATATGAGAGGAGCTTCAAAACCTTTCTTGCCCTTTGCCCCAAACATTCATTCTAGATGGAGAAGAGATTCCAGGGAGGAAGTACGGGAAGAACAGCAAAATTAAAAAGACCAAAAGAAATTATTTTCACAGACCTCTCCACCAAAATTGAATTATTAATTGCAAAAACACCTGGAAGCAACTCAACTTTATATGAATCAAGGGACACGAGCATTAGCTGGTGCCAGTGGCTCACAGCCGTGATCCTAGCTATTCAGGAAGCTGAGATCTGAGGATTGCGATTTTAAGCCAGCCTGAGTAGGAAAGTCTGTGAGACTCTTATAGCCACTAAAAACTACTCAAAAAAGCCTGAAGTGGAACTGTAGCACAAATGGGAGAGCCCTTGCCTAGAGCACCAAAGTTCAGGGACAGCACCCAGGCCCAAGGGCAAGTCCCTGGGCTGGCAAAAAAAAAAAAAAAATACATAGTTGCTGTGTATTTAAAATAAATACAGGGCTTGGAAGGTGGCTCAGTGGTAGAGTGCTTGCCTTGCATGCATGAGGGCTTGGGTTCAATTTCTTACCACATAAGCAGCAAAGGCCAGAAAGGATGCCGTGGCTCAAGTGGTAGAATGCTAGTCTTGAGCTAAAAAGCTGAGGGACTGCACCCAGGCCCAGAGTTCAGGCCCCACGACTGACAAAATAAATAAATAAAATAAAATAGATACAAAATAAAATTTATTTAGCCAGGCACCAGTAGCTCACACCTGAAATCCTAACTACTCAGGAAGCTGAGATCTGAGGATCGCAGTTCAAAGCCAGTCCAGGCAGAAAAGTCTGTGAGACTTATATTCAATTAACCATCGGAAAACTGGAAGTGGCACTGTGGCTGAAAGTGGTAGAGTGCTAGCCTTGAGCAAAAGAGCTCAGTGACAGCACCCAGGCCCTTGAGTTCCAGCCCCATGACTGAACAACAACAACATTTTTATTCAGAAATTGTCTGGATGAGCTTTACCCATGCCATTTCCCTTTTAAAAATTTATAGATCAGTGGGGCTGTTTCTTTTTTTGAACTTTAGTGTACAGCCCAGGCTGGCCTGCCATTTTTTATTCCTCTGCCTTCAGTTTCTCTTTTGCTGAAATCATTTTTTTGTCCTGGTAGAGGGGCTTGAACTCAGAGCTTAAGTGCTGTCCCTCTGCTTTTCACTCAAAGTTGGAACTTCCTCTTTTTTAAATATTTTTTATTGTAAAAATATTGTACAGAGGGGTTACAGTTACATGAGTAAAGTAATGAGTACCTTTCCTATCGAGCATTGTTACCTCCTCCTTTGGGAACTCTGTCTCTTAAGTCATGGCTCCACTTCCAGCTTTTTGACAGTTCATTGGAGATAAGAGTCTCAGGCAAATGCAAAACAAAACAAAACAACAACAACAAAAAAAGAGTCTCATGCATTTTTCCTACCCAGGCTGACTTCTAATTGGGGTCCTCAGAATTCAGCTTCCGGAATATGTTGGATTAGAGATATGAGCCACCAGCACCCAGCTTCAAATGATTTTTGATAAAGCAATTTATGCAGTGACAGTTCATGCACATAGCGCCTACAGTAAGTCTAAAGACATAAAGCAATATTCAGTAGAGCAGCACCAGTAACTTAGGACAACCATTCATTCCAGAAAATTCACTGAAGAGAGCAGAGATGCCACCTGTTTTATGGTTATATGGATCCGCTTTTCCCCACACGGCTCTGAAAGAAAAGGTTAAAAAAATAAAACCTAGGACATACAATTCACACCATTTCAGAGCCTCTTGGCTAGGGCTGTCTTTATCAAATCTCTCTTGCTGTGGTGGAGAAAACACAACTGAATTGGTGAGGGGAAGCCATCAGCCAAAGGTGGAAAGAAGGAAAGCTGGTCGTGTAAGAGAAAACTGCTGCTTACCTGGTCTTCCAAGACTTGCTGGTGGCTCTAAGGCTTGCTCTGGGCTCTGAAGCAGGTGCCTAGGGACTGTGGCCAGTGAGTGCCAGGTGGGAGAGGCTATGGCTGCCCTCAGTGCATAGAAGCCCAGCTTCCCGTCTGCTGGGAAGGGCAGAGAGCAAGCCACTGCAGCAATGACTTGACTGGGAAAGGGAGCCAGCAAGGGCGGGGCAGGGCCACGTGGCCCAGCTTGCCTTGGAGTGTGGAGTAGGAAGAAGAGAGAATCAGCCAGGGGACAGTTCTTACTGTTCGGTAAATATCACAAGCAACCAAGCTGTGATTTCCAGCCCCTCTCCAGTCTAGACGGCCCAACTTCGAACAAAACTGGAGACAGCTATTGCTGGGCTCATGTGCACGTGTGGGGCATTTAGATGGAGAAAAGATCTAATACATAGATTACAGCTGAGGGCTGTGAAATAACCCAGTCTCCCTGAGCTCAGAGAGGCAACGCTCAGAGAGGCAACATATTGTACCCCCAAATCCACAGCTGGTTATTGAAGTCTAATTCTAGAGCCTGTGGGAACTTCTGGAGGCAGGAGCCAAAGACTTCCTTCAGCTGCACCTGCAAAAGACACAGCCCCTCCCCCTAACCCCCCCCCCCCCCCGCTCCCCGCATGCTTTACCTGATCACCATGACTAGTCTGAGGGATCTAACAGAGCAGAGCATTATGGGGTTCACAGGTGGAGCCCCATAACTTCCCAGATTTCACCATTCTGTATTTAGAGAGGGTAAGAGTCGCCAACTCTGGTCTCCTAACGGAACCGTCAGCTCCTTCCCTGTGGCCTTCACAAAGGAGCCAGGGGAGGGGTGTCTGTTTGTAGTGTTCCCCTGGGAAAGGAGCACAGAACCCTTCTTCAGGGACCCATTCCTTGACATCTAAGGCTCCACAGAACATCTAGGACTCTGGGAATGCAGACCTCAGCCTAGACATGAGAGCCTGCCCTATTGGAAATGTCAATGAATGTAGTGGTTCAAGAACTGCTTTCTTAATTGATAGTAAACTAGATTTCCTGACCTTGCAGCTGGACAATATGCCCACGCTGGAATGTATCCCCCACACCCGTTCCCAGTAGTGGTCACTCTGGCCACACCCTCTGGGAGACACTGCCAAGAGCTCTGCCAAGGCTGATCCAAGTCAGGCAGCTCGTGGGAGGGAGGGCAGAGGCGGCTAGATGAGATGGAAACACAGCCACAGGACTTCACTGGGGCCTTGTGAAGCTGGCACACATCCCACTGTGCCCTCTCCGGACCCCTGGTCTCAAAGCATCCCTATATATCAGGATAAAGGCAGCCTCAGGCCCCCTAGGACCATACCCCTCAAAATACTCAGCGCTCAGTTACTACGGCATCCCTAGCTCATCTGACTCCATGTCCAGTGCTCTTCCCATGTACTTCTTTCCTCCCTGGAATTGGGCACATGGATGGAGTCTTGTTTCTGGTGGCTATAGCAGCACCAGACCTTAACAACCCACAGTAAATATTAATACTTTTCTTGGCTATCACGTTACTAGTTTACCACAAAGGAGCTTGGAAAACCAACTCTCCCCAAATGACTTCATCAAAAGCACTTCTATAATGTTGTCACCCCTCACTTCCCCCCACCCCATTCCCATACTGGAATATAAACTCTGGGCCTTGTGCTTGCGAGGCAGGTATTCTACCTACCATTTGAGCCATCCTCCATTCCTTTTTTTGCTCCGTGGAGTTTTTAAGCAGGGCCAGCCTTGAACCCTGGTCCTTCCACCTATACCTTCCACATAGCTAGTAGCACAGACACACACCACACTTGGTTTGTTGTTGAGATGGAGTTTGTTTTCCCAGGCTGGTCTTGAACCAGGATTCTCCTAACCATTGCCTAAAGCAGTTAGAATAGTTATGTCCTACCACATCTGGCCCTCATTCCAAGATGTGTGCAGAAGAGGGTCGTAGTCTTGTGGGTTGCAATAGTAAGGCGACTGCTGGGAATTTAGGATTTAAGGTGGCTGGGAATTTAGGATTCCAAATCTAGGTATTGAACACAGTCCTTCAGCGTGCAGCTACATCCAGCCTCTTTTCTAAAACTGTTCATTCATTTCCAAACTTGGTTTCTTTGATATTTTTGTTGGTTCATTCTTTTTTTTTTTTTTGGGGGCGTGGGGCCTGAACTCTGGGCCTGGGTACTGTCCCTCAGCTCTTCAGCTCAAGGCTAGCGCTCTACCACTCGAGCCACAGTGCCACTTCCGGCTTTTTTTTTCTTATGTGGTGCTGAGGAATCAAACCCAGGGCCTCATGCATGCAAGGCAAGCGCTCTACCACTGAGCCACCTTCCCAGCCCCGTGTTGGTTCATTCTTAAAAGAAGCAACAAAATTCCCTCCCTCTCCATAACAGCTAGTCATTTCCACATGTGACCATTTATACCACTTTGAAAAGTATTTATTCTGCATCTTTTTTTTTTTGGTGGGGGAGGGCCCTGGGGTTTGAATTTGGGGCTTTGTGCTTCCTAAACAAGTACTCTGTCACTCAAGCCCCAGATTGAGAAATATTTAAAAGCAAGATTGGGGGGGGGGGGTGGTCATGGGCCTGAACTCTGGATCTGAGCACTGTCCTTCAGCTCTTCAGCTCAAGGGTAGTGCTCTACCACTTGAACCACAGCACCACTCCCAACCTTTTCTGCTTATGTGGTGCTGAGGAATCAAACCCAGGGCCTCATGTATGCCAGGCAAGCACTCTACCACTGAGCCATCTTCCCAGCCCCCAAAGCAACATTTTTTTTTTAGTAAGATCAGGATTCTACCCTTATACAAACCATTCTGAGGGTTAGCACTACAGGTTTTTGTTGTTTTTTCCCACTTCCTGACATGTCTTAGCTATTTACCCCCTCTCCCCCTTCTCTTTCAGACTCAAGACCTTTGGGGTTTTTTGTTCTTGTTATTATTGTTTTTCCTTAAAGTCCCAAGCTATGTTTGATCTGAAAGTATCAGACATGGGCCTTAGGCTCTTCTGAAACTCACGGTCATATGCTCTAGCATTCAACTTGCCATTTTCAACAGGGATGAAAATGGCCAGTTTATTAATACCCTTGTCCAACCTGTGGGTTTAGTTGCCTAAACAGTTCTTGCAGCTGGCAAGTCTTATGATGGATGGTGGCTTTCCAAGCATCTCAAGGAATAGCTGGTGCGTGTACTGGTTGACTAATGATGCTCTGACACTGTGGTAGTGTACCAGCTGACCTCATTCACTTACACATTATGAGCCCTTCATGTTACAGGTCCTCAAATATAAATCAACCATGGCCAACCAGGCATGAGCCCTTACCATGTGTCCCCAACTGAGCCATCTATTGCCCCCATGCTATCTTTTTGGGCCAGTTTTTATTTTAGGAGACGTTTCTTCTGAACCCTGGGCAGCCAGCCTTTGGAAATTAATTTTAAGGATGTAATAAGCTTAAAAATATACACATATAAAAAATATACACATATATTTTCTATGCAAACAAGCAAGTGACTCGTGTAAACACATGCTTCTAGTCCAAATAGGAAACCGAATTAAGGAATTGACAGAAACTGACAGAAATTGATTCCCATCAGTAGATGCCTTGGCATTTCTAGCTCCCCTCTTCGTCTGAGAAAGATCCCTGCTTTTCTCTTCTTCTGAACAGGCATCCTATACACTGGCACTCTTATTAGTCAGGAGACAGAGTGCCCTTCTCAGTCCTAACAGCTGTTCTGCCAACAAACTTTTACACAAACCTAGAAAAGCAACATTCCACTCACAGTCCAATTCGAACCCCATCCCCATGAAGAATGCTATTCTTGGCAAGAGATCTTCCGAAGGAAACAACATCTGCAGAACCTCTGTCTGTGAGGTCAGAGGAAAGCTGAGGCAGCTGAGAAGTCTTTGGTCCTCTTAGATCCAAGTCACAGGGGCTTCACAGAACAGGATGAGAGCAAACCTAGTAACTACAGGCAATGTCTCAGGGTCCTGACATGACCCCTCCCTGCAGCTTCCCAACAGACTTTGAGAGGCCAGGGAATGTTCCGGGTTTTTTGGTTGTTGTGTTGTTTTTTGTCAGTCATGGGGCTTGAACTCTGGGTGCTATCCCTGAGCTCTGCAGCTTGAGGCTGGCGCTCTACCACTTGATCCAAAGCGCCACTTCTCCTTCTACCTTTTATTCAGTTAAACCAAAGGAGCCAATCCAATTTCCTAAACTATACAAAAGAACTTGTAATTCAGATTAGCTAATCACTAAATATTGCTAAGACCTTTTGTAGGTCCTGAGGCAGTAGCTCTAAAAAAAACCAAATTCCTCCTCTAAGCATATTCAAGCCCAGTTCCTTCCAACTGTACTCCAAAAATTCCACTTGCCAGAGCTCTTCATCTGCTGCCAGAGAACCAGCAAACCGAAGGCACACTGCAGTGAGAGCTCTGCAGGGACAGTTCCTGGTACTATACCAAGTTTCCCTTCCTTATATAACATCCGATACTATAGGAAGAGCACACCTGTTAAAGATGGAAGGAAGGAAGCCAGGAACAAAGAGCCATTACTCAACTGGGCTGTTTGTAAGCATCACACATTTTGATACAATGGATTTAGAGCCTCAGGAAAAAATGAGCCTTGAAATGAGGTTTCCCAAATGCAATTCAATTGTACTGACTCCTATGCAAATTCATGAACTCATTGAGGGAAAATGTTACACAGGGACTCAATTCCTAGCAAAATCTACTGGGTCTATTGTGATCTAGAGCCAATATAGATACTTAATTCCAATAGAATGGTGTATAATGCTCTCCTCTCGTTGCTGGATGGTGGGCTGCAGTCGAAGGTTTATCTCATCACCTGATTCTTACACCGGTGCTAGCTGCAGAGAACTTGCTCAGTTTAGGTAGCTTGAGTAGATGCAGTGGACTGAGTGAGCTTAGTTGTTTTGTCTTCTTCTCTAAGTTCAAATGTGTTGAAGGAATGCCTGGAAGGTCAAGGCTTCCCACACAAGCTAGGCAGGACAAATTTCCAGGCGTGGGCTGGAATATTTCTGAATTGGGGCCACTACTGGTCAACAGGCACAGTGTTCCTTCCTTATATCCCAAGACCATCTGTAACCTACCCAAATGTA